TAAAAAGAGTAATTTATGACAAATGAAAACATACAAGACCTGTTTTGGTAAACCAGACTTGTTTCACTTTTTTGAACAATTACAGACAAATTAAATAGTCATGTAGACTCTACAATATTCAAAAACTTGATGGATTACAAACCAAAATGCAACGAAAAAATTTTTAAATGTCACAATTCATGAAATTTGAAATTCTCAGTAGTACGTTCAATGTAACTTTATCAGTTTATTTTGGTAGAGGCAGAGGTGTCTCTTTCTTGCTGTCAGGATAATCTGCCTCCAACTGCTCTCTCACTAGTTACTCTGTCTCCTTTACAGCATGCATCATCTTCAGTATCTGTGCTGCTGCTTGAGGATATTAGTTCTGCTATTTCTTCACCACTTCTCTTCAAGTCTACCATTCTACATTTTCTGTTAAGCATCTGTCCTGTCTTTGTGCTGGTCGTTTCTTCTTCGCTGTTAATTTTGCGTCTACAACTACCATTGACCCTTTACATTCTTTCTCATGCTGAGCTAACAAGAACTCGTGATACTCTGTAATTTTTATCATTTTGACTACTCTAAGATGAGAAATGTCAAAAAGTTCATCTAGTTTACTAACAAATTCAGCCTCATTTGTTTGCTCTGTTACAGATTGTCACCCTTTGTTTTTTTTTAGCAAATGCCATTCTTTAAATGTTTGTTCTAGTTTAGTTATGCAGTTTCTTCGGATCTGTCATTGGAATCCTTGCCATTTCATAAAATACAAACATTGAAAGATACTTTACAAAAGTCAAATGGTTTGAGAAAAAACAGAAATAGAATTCTTAGATTTATATACAAATCAAATGGATCAGAATAGAACACTTAGATATAAATACACTGTAAGTTAATAAAATAATAAAAAATTTAAACAAAATTTAAATTAAGTATGCATTTATACAATATGCAATAATTTAAACATTACTCAAGATGTACCAGAAAATATACTTGTTACACTATAATGCAGTAAACCACATCACAATATAATAAGGATCAACTAAGCCAGGGCTTCTTAAACTTTTTTTATTTACGACCCCATTTATGATTGTGATTTTTGTTGCGACCCAAAAAATATAAAATAAATATATACAAATTTGCAAAAACAATAATTATGTACTACCACAGTTCATTCTTGTGTTACAATGGAACAGAGACAACTGAATACACTGAAAAGTGACAACACTATACTAGTTCACACTACAGTGTTGTTGAATCGTTGTCTCGCTGCACCAGAAATGACACAAAGTGCAACTCACGAAACCTATGACACGAAGCATGCCATTTTCAAACTCTCACGAATTATTTTTCATATTTTGCATTAAAATCTCGCGACCCCAAGATTTCGCTAAGCGACCCCAAATGGGGTCGCGACCCATAGTTTAAGAAGCCCTGAACTAAGCAATATATACTGTAGAGAGACATTCAGTATTATAGATATCTACAGTGGGACAATTGTAAGGATATTTTCTGTTAATAAATATTATCTCCCATGTATACAATAAACACTGATTGGTATATTGATGAAAAAGCTGCATCTTGGTCCACACCAGCTCAAATATTGAAGTCAGAATGACCCTGCCTACTCTGCATTACATTCCTTCTATGTTCATTAAGATGGCATGCTGACATTCTGGCTGTGGACCCATATACTGGTAGTGCAATATCTTTATGTAGTATTACATAAACCCCTAACTTTTCTGGTAACCTATAAGGATCATGTCATTACAAAACAACTTGCAGAAACTTTGCTGGGCCTAATAGGGATGATATAATTATACAAATTAAAGGCTCACTAGAGATAAAGAAAGATAAACTAAATAAGGAATAGATTTGCCCACAAATTCCCTTTTCTTCTTAACATCCATACTAGAAATGAGGAATGAAGATCTCTGAACCCCTACAGCTGAGAAACCTAAACTTAGCATGTGTAGCCAGTATCAAAAGCAGCAGAGACAACCTGTTGTAATTCAAATGAAATCTGCTATTGAAAGGTTATGTATAGATAGGCCCATTGGATCAAAGCAAAAAGCATGGCAATTTTATACATAACAAGCTGAAAGGAGGTAACAGGTATAACTACAGAATGTGAGGGTCGGACCGAATAAAATAAAATAAAATTAAGAAGCTCAAATTAAATTAAATATCTTTATTAAAGTTGAACAAAGAAAAACTTCATTTTTCGAAATTTTACAAAAAGGATATACACATTTCCTTCCCACGGAGCCGTTTCCTATCTCTCGGGAAACCGAAAAATGATTCATGAGGAACTTATCCTAAAAATCGCTGATTGGTGAAACCCCAGTAACGTGACAAGAGGGATAAAAGAGGGGAGACGACAAGAAAGGGGGTCGGTCAGTCGTCGCTGTCGGTGAACACGGTCCGTCATCACCGTTCATGATCGGGGAAACCCCGTGCCGATCCTCATCGCCGCCGTCCGTTCCTCAAGACAACTTGTCCGATCCGGTTAGAAAACGTCCGACCGTCCGATCCGAAATCGTAGAGGTATGATACCCATTAATGTACACTCTCTCTCGGCGCGTTTCCCTCCACTGTCCACTCGAGATAAGCTCCATGTATTTATGTTAGTTATGTTATCATCTAAATAAATCCTTGTTTTNAAATAAAGTAAAATTTTTTTATTTTCGATTGCGTGTTCCTCTATCCCTATTTACTCTATGTTAAAATGACCTCATTTAACGCTGTTTCGTTTAGTGTTTTGTCATCTAGGAATGCATCCCTGTGTTAAGCAGGGTCTTACTATATTGCAAAGTGACCCCACTCTGTTCTTGTGATTGACAATCACAACAATAAAGTGAGGGAAAAAATATATTAGTCTGAAACATTTGTAGAGATTTAGAACTGAGAGTCATTCAAATCAGAGATTTTAAACATTATCTCACCTATGCTTCAGACAGGAGCAGTGAAAAATGTCTCATAACTAAGAGAGTTGTTTAAATGAGAAGCATATAAGTGAGGTCACTGAATTGAATTGAATTGAATTGATTTAATAATAACTATTTAAGATGGTTAGTCAGTTTATTAATATTATATTTATGAAAAACAGTTTTAATAAAATAATTTGAACATTTTCAACATTTACAGAATATCTTCATTAGGAACTCAATTTTAGAACATAGAAGATAATTATTTAGTATCAAATCAATTCAAAATTTGTGTGTCAAGCAAAATTAATTTCACAAATTACCAAGCATATTTTTTAAGCAATACATGACTAAAGGTAGTGTGAAAATTTTAAATAACATAAAAATTTTAATGGACTAAATTGTATATGATTAATAACCAATATTCTGATGGATTAAATATAGGCTGATTAATGGGATCATGTTATCTTATCAGTAGTGTTTCCCAAATGAAACTTTGTTTTGGTTGGTGATAAATTTTATTAAAATGTGTCCCTGCTCTTTAATAATGCAGTTTTCTTCCAAGGAGAAGTATATTTGTCTTTTATAACATATTTTGCTAGCTCTGTATGCATATGACTTTTATAGACAGTAGTCCTTATCAATAAAGTGGCACCATACATTCTAATTGTTGGTCAACCAATGATTGGAGTATATTGATGCTGTTGTTGCCCATTTACTAGGCCAACAATTAAAGGAACACCTAACTTCCATAAATAAAAGACACAGTACCAGTGAAGATCTTAGTGAAATTCTTTCTCAAACTCCGTCTCATTGAGTTGGTTTCCGAATGTATCCAGGTTCGATGGAAAGCACGCCTCCACACTCAAGTTATACAATATTTACAGTTTATTTACAAATTCTATACATAGTGTGTACAAGTTTGAAAACATAGTATACACAGGATAACAAAGTGTGGTGCCTTGCAAACTAGATTGGCTTCTGAAAACTATTAAACTTTGGGGAGGCCTCGGTAAGCTTGTGGACTTGGCTCAACTGCACGGTCTGCCCAGTCTCCACACTTACCTGTCCCTGAGATAGTTACTAGAGAAGAATATTCTCTCTATGCTCAGCAGGCTTCCCAAATGTCTGAGACTACCATGTACCAGTCTCTTGCCCTTCTCTCCCTCCTCGACACCTTACAAGTGGTATATTGCCCAACCGCACGTGGGTCCAATTGACAAGGTTGCACTTCTTTTGTTCCCTCTCTGCTAAAAGGTAAATACTTTACAGTACCACTGCTTTCGGTCTCCTGTCCAGTCAGCATCAAATCCAAGTGCATGTCCATGAGATCAACTTATACATTCAACCAAAGAATTTTTCTCTCTCAATCACCTTGCAATATTGGAGCTATATAAAGCTTATAAGAAAAATGGGATCATTAATTACAAAGACACTAATACTCTCCATCAAGCTTGGAGATCTTTATTTTGAAATCCTTTTATAATTTTCTACATCACTATCTTAACATCCAATCAGAAGACATCTTTTCATCATTTAAAATCAACATAAAAGTTTCTGATCCATTTTTGAACACAATTTTCTTAACCTGAATATTATAGCTTAAAGCTATTGAAAATGTTTGTACATGCATTAAATTTTTTTATGCATTTTACTGGAGTTTGGTTTTATTAGTGTTTTTTTTTTTTTTTGATGTTATAAAACTATTTAGTTTTATTTGAATTAGATATATTTGAGGATGAAGTTTAAAAGCTTTGAAAATATTTAATGTGAAATTCTCCAATTAATTGTAAGTGTTTTTATTTAGTTTTGAGAATTTATATACTTTAATGAATCAAAAGTATATGTAGGCCTGCATTCAACATTAGCATATTCAAATAGACATTTGTTTATCATCAACAATTATTGTGTATTAATGTATAAATTAATGTTTGAACAAATTAGAAGCCTATAAATATATTTAAGTGAAATTACTCCTTAAAAAGTTGTTTAAGGCATTAGTCAATTATAATTATGATATTCAAAAAATATTTTTTTTTCTTAATTATTTCATTTTGTTCATAAAAAAGAAATTGCATAAATAACTTTGCATAATTTTTCCAGAAGTCTAGATAGCCCATGTAATTCTATAGAAATGGTTCATAGAACACCAACAAGTACACCAGCAGATGCCCTCCCAGGGTCAGGTCCAACATCAGGGATTATTCAACCACATATTCCTACAACTATCTCACTTGATCAGTATAATGATTCTGATTTGGAAGCTGATGTAGATCCTCCAAATTGGCAAGATAATATTGACTGGGATGTAATACGTTTAATGAAACCTAAAGAAAAAAAACGACAAGATGTTATAAATGGTAGATATCATTATTACTAATATATTACATATTAATGTGATATTAATATTTAATATTAAAATATTTTACAGAACTTTTTCACACTGAAAGAACCCATGTAAGAAATTTGAAAATTCTTGATCGACTCTTTTACCGTCCACTGCAGCAAGAACAGTTACTTCCTCCTGACTTACTACAACTCTTATTTCCTAATTTGGAAGAAATGCTAGAAATTCATAGTGGATTTAATAATAAAATGAAAGCCAAAAGACGAGAAGAACCAATTATTGGTGATGTGGGAGAAATGATGCTAAATATGGTATGATATAAATTAATTTTGTTATTTTTCCTGTTAAATTTCTTTGATAATTATATATTTATTATCATTACATATTACTTAATATTACATACTCAGGCCATTAAATAAATTTTATCATTTGTATTGAATGAATGAAACTGTATATGCTTATGTTGAAACTTAAATAATCAGCAATATTTCAATATTTGAAGCAACCTTAGTTCCTAACTCTTAAAATTTGCTTACTCATATCACATTTTTTTAATGAGGTTATTTTCATCATCTGTTAAGTACAAAAATTAAATTTTTAACAATTTGTCTTAGCACTAAATAGGTGATGATAAATAATATGTTGCATCAGTTATATACCCAAATGAATAATTCTAATTTATTATTTTTGTATATTATTGATATTATACAGACTATTTAAGAATGTTCACCTGTATTTGTTAGCATTACTATATATTTTATTTGTTGATGATTGAATGTTGTTGAAATTAATAGCAATAACTGCAAAATGAGAGTATTTATTAACTCCCGTGTTATACAGGGGTTACCCCCATATAACGGGAGTTACGTTCCAAAAAATTGCTGTGTTATGCGAATCCATATTATACGAAACAAAGAGCTAGTGCGAAAAGGGGGGTTAGGTTCCAAAATTTAAAAACATGCTGTTAAATCCTTATTTAAATCGGATTTATTATTTATTTTTTTCATAGGTAAAATATTTATTATTTAAGTAAATATTTTACCAGAGGATTGTTCATCCTATATGATGATCTCAGCATGAGCATCATCAACTGGTAATAGTTTTTGGATGTGTTTGTTAATAGCGGTCGCTCTGCAACGGGAGTGCACTGCTGTTTGTAGGCATTTAGGAACAACAGTGAAAGAAAGATGGCGGCACCTTCACTATCGATATTATTGTGATGGAGGAATCTATAATTCTAAAATGAGCTTTTAGAGGCAAAAGAAGGGTCCCAATTGTAAAATTTAACCATTAAATGGATTATTGTTGAAAGAGCATTCAAAGTAGCCACGAAAACAATTAGAATTCTCACGCAGAGTTACGCGGAAGTATAAAAGAACACACCCTTTATTACATTTCATGTTGTATGAGGGTTTTACCCAATTCCCAAACTGTGTTAGAGTGAACCTGTACTATAAAACCACCGTGTTATATGGAGGATGTTCCCAATTCTCGAACCGTGTTAGAGTGAATCCGTGCTATAGAAGTGCCAAGTTATATGGGTGTTACCTGTATGTATGATATTTTCTTAGACAAGAAACTTTATGATAATAGACAAAGATTTTGAATCTATAACTATTATGATTCAGTTTTTAATTAAATTTTTTTCTATTTTTGCTCTAAATAGATAATGCAAATATATCTGATTGATTAGTTGTTATTTCAAAAGATGTTTAATAATCAGAAATTATGATAATGGAATAATTATGTTAACTTAGTTTTGTTATTATATTCTAAATTAACATCTGTTGGTAAATGAATAATTTCTAAAAATTTCAGAAGCTTAAAATTATCTAGTTAAACTATCCACAAAATTCCTTACTTATCTTTACTTATTTTATTTTTATCATTTCCTTTTAATTATAAAACTGAATTTACTATTGTTAATGTAAGATTTTAAATTTGTAAATATTATTTCACAGCTTGATGGTGAATCAGGAGAAAATTTAATGACTGCTGCTGCCAAATTTTGTCGGAACCAATCTGTTGCATTAGAAAACTTAAAAAGCAGGCAGAAGAAGGACCAAAAATTAAGCCAGTTCCTAGCTGTGAGTATATAATTACAGTAGAACCTCGATTATCCGGACTAATTGGGGATGAAGGTAGTCCGGATAAGGAAAAATCCGGATAATCGAAACAAATACTTTAATTTGTCTTTTAATGATAATACACGTTTTCTTTTCGATGACATATCGGTAATATTAAAAATAAATACAGTAGAACCTCGATTATCCGGACTAATTGGGGATGAAGGTAGTCCGGATAAGGAAAAATCCGGATAATCGAAACAAATACTTTAATTTGTCTTTTAATGATAATACACGTTTTCTTTTCGATGACATATCGGTAATATTAAAAA